TATATAGAGCACCATACAACATTTCAAGTCACTTTCACGCTAGTTGATACCACCGAAAATAATAACCCCGACCCTGTTTCGTTCTATCATATCTATCTATGCTCTCAAAGTATCCGGCAAAAAGAGGTTTTCTAGTTGAGGTCAAAACCCAAATCGTTTCCAACAAGGTAGTGTTGGGGGTTTTCCCATTGAAAATGACCGTTTTCGACCAGGTCTGGTGAGGAAACTGGTGTCTGGCCGGGTGTTTTGGTCTGGTACGATCTGGGAGAAGAAGGTCACGAGTAGAATAGCAACACCAACCACAAAACACTCCCGTTCTCAGAAACCACAACAAGAGGAGTGTTCTTCTAAATGCGAGGGAGAGGATGGGTAGTGTAGGAATTAATACCAAGTCTGCAAGCCATTTTAATCCTTACACTCCTGGAATTTATCCGGCATAGTATGAAGCGGATTCCAGTTCGTGACTTCCAGTTTATCCAATTCCCCTTGCGCGGCTGGACGCATGCCATACGTTCTCGACAAGGTTGAGGTCTTGTGATGAGCCAGGTCTCCGGTGAGGAGGAATACCCGGCTCTTTACCTAGCTCAATCAAGACTCCTTTAGTTCCATGCCATCGGGATGTATCCCCAACATATCCATGGTGAATGTACCGTGGTGGGGGGATTGAGGAAAAGGCGGTTGCACTGGTGGAAATTCAGGTGAACTACTCATGGCTTTTGGCGCCAAGATCGTGCTTTAAATTGTGGTAAACAGGAGACTGTAGTATAACGGATAGGAGTGGGAGAAGTGACTTACTTGACTTTCAAAGAGGGAAACAAATCTATTAAATTCGTGAAAGCTCTCTTATATGTGTCACATTACGACATATCGGCGCCCGTTTTATGGACTTGCGGTAGGTTGGACGACGATCAAGTTACCTATCAGCTGGAGGATTGTTGGCACGAGTGACTATACGTGAACGATCGTTGTCCTGGTCGAGCCATGCTATAGTGCAAACCTTCTGAGCTCGAGGGTGTACCGTACAGGGCAGGACAGCGCAGAGCTGGTATTGCACTTACTTGGGTGTATTCAGCAAAAAAAAAAAAACCGATTAATTAATTAATTGACATCACATAATTCTCTTGTAATGGCCCTTCCCCCCCTTTCTCAACTCACCCTGGGGTGGTATCCGAATTTGGTTCATGAGACAAAGCCTATGAGACGATCCATCTTGGATATCACGCGCGGGAATGCCTGGTCTTTAGTCTTTCACAAGAGTCACAGCAGAGGGCCTCTCGACCCTTGAATCTCGAGCTCCTTTACAATCCTGGATATTCCTATCGCGGGTTCAAGCATTGTTTTCTATCCTGCCTCCAGTGCTGAAAAAGATCCCAGCACAAGGCCTCAGCATATCACCCAAACGCTGGTACAAACTCGCTCGATCAATACACCATCTTCACTAAATTCGGGAGTACGGTGTCTAAGCTCCCCGCTACCTATATCAGAAGTGTCCCTACGATTTTTCGAGACCTCTGCTACTAGCCTCAGGCAACTAACCGAACCGACGGATCCAAAGGCCTCTCCAGCCCCTCAGTCCAGCGTATCCACCGATCTCGTTCTGAACCAGACAGACGAGCCATTGAAGCTCATTACCAACTGGAGTTGGGACATATCCCCTCCCACTTAACCGTCCTGAACAGCACTGAGCCCAGTGATCTCCCACCACAGGGTTCAGAAAAATCCTCACGATGAATTTCATGATGACGAACTACTTCAGGAGTTTAGGTGAAGGATAAACATTCCCAGTTCCCCAGAGTTCCTACAAAGGGTGTGTGAGCGCGAATTCTTCACTACGCCATCTCCTCAAAAGCATTCCCTAATCCATCCTCATGGCCGGGAACTTCCCAGAGCTTGCGGCATCCTATTCCACCCAAGAAACCGTAACAGCGACACCAACAGCAATAGACCCTCATCAGGCGGCCGGCACACCAGGTCAGACTCCCACCAAAAGCCCACCAGAGGCCACAAACCTTTACCCAAACGCCGGAAAAATGGAAACCGTAGACTACACCCCAGCGGGAGGTCTCAACACGAATTACACCCCACCGGTATAATGGGCGCTGGGTGATTTTATCTGGCAGTCGAGAAAACCCCGCACTTGACCAGGAATGGGCCGAATGGGACTTTTTTCTACATGGGACTCGAACGGTTTTCCGCGGAGAATTTCGAAGTGTGCGGATTGACATTGGATGGTCGGGGCTTGGCCACGCTCAGGGATCGCAAGAGAAGAGGCACAAGTATAATACAGGAACTTATCGACTTTTCACAGAAACCAACCAGATGGGGTGGGAGTGGTGTTTACGGGTTCGTCCAACATCCGGATTGGCAAACTGCCGCACAGTTTCTCCTGCAATCCTTTACCCCAGAGGCAGGACAGCAGATAATCACCTGGCAGGTATCATAAATAATTTGCTTCCCTTCCCATTTTAAACCTCCCTAGTTCGAAGGCCTCTTCCCAGTGCCCATCTCCCTCGAACTCGGCATCACCCAGCCAATACCCAGGACACCCTTAGCACCCCATATCAAATCCTACCCTAAAGAAGACCCCAAAACTTGCCCGACAGAACCTCCCGGGTCTCTAAATCACCAATAACCCCAACAGCACAGACCCCCCGATACTCCCCCCGCGCCGTATCTCACAACCACACGCAATCGCCATGTCCCAGTCGTCAAGTACCCTCCAATGCGAAGATCCTGCCTGGAACAGCTGACCCTCATGACGTGTATATTACCACCGCGAAAGGACCTGCGGAGTTCGCCGCTTTGGCCTCTCTGTCGAATATCACCTACACCCGTTTGTATGGCGCTGGTTATTCCGGCAAGGGAACCACCAAGGCGACGCAGTTGAAGGAAGCACTTATTCTCAGAGGGCCGTTCCGCACTTGATGGCGTAAAGTATCATACTGCTTTAGTTGTCTTGGTGGATGAAACCCTTCAAGTTACCTCACGCCATAAAACATCTAGCGTTACAAATCGAAAATCCTATCTTTGCCGGTCCGGCTTTATAGGATCAGGAACTTATTGCAGTACAGCTCTAGTAAAAAAAAAAAAAAAAAAGAGCAACAGCAGACCCCGACGGATAGTTGAACTGTTTCTAAGTTCTTGATTAAAACTCGTCACACCCTATTACTTTCCTTTGCCTCTGCTCCTCTCATTGTTACCAGTCAACAGCCATCATTATTTATAATACCATATATCTACCTTCAGCAATGTGTCGCACCTCCCCATACTAACTTGGACACATTCCCCCGCCCCGCGGCCGAGTTGAAACCGGACACTTAAATAGGACATTTACGGACGGAGTGTACGGCATTGACCCGGCCTCACGAGTACTGTACAGAGTGGTGGTGATAAATTTCAATTACTAGAGATATAAAAGAGACACGGGATGCAAGACACTTGCACAGAAGACATGTATATCACATACTACCATCATCTATCAGTCGAGCTTGATCTCTTGGTTATGATACCATAGTTCTCTAAACCCCTCAGAAAATCAACTCATGTGCCCATTTGCGATACCCAGTACGATACAACCTCCTGGGCAATCGGTTTCCCCCCCCTCCTCTCTTCCCTTTATCTTTTCTCTTTTTGAGTGCCCTGTTCGGCTTGTATATATGATATCCATACCAATTTAAAAAAAAGGGTTGCAATAAAAGGCGAAAACGCAATATTTACCCATTCCGGCTACATTTTTCCACCGTGACTTTTTTTTTTTCTTTTTTTTTTTTTCTTTCAAAAGTTTCTACTTTTACCATCATATTCTCTCCAACTTACTTTCCAGGTTATGATACTTACTAAGAATCTCTCTTCTTCCCAACCACCTTTTTCCTTCATCTCTCTTGTTGACTACTAGCACGTCATCGCATGTCCGCAACTTGAATGTTATCATGCCTATCATACTACAGGATTTTTCAACACCACTTGCCAAGTTATTATCTTTATTTTCACTTCCCCCCCCCCATGTTGGTATTAGCTATTGTGGGAAGTTTACATATGACACCTGCATATTCGTAAACCTGTGTCTGAGTCATTGGTGGGGATATGAGAACATAAAATTCTTCATGATATCTCAACTGCCCAAGTGATACCCTAAAAACTGGAATCATGCGAGGACATTGGAGTTGTTGCTCTTAATAAGGTCTCATTGCCACCGTATGATACACTCACTTTTCCCGTCTCGACGGAGGCCTAAAAGCAACCTTTTCTCTCACTCCACGTTTTAGCCACTTTTCGCGGCACAAGATTGAAGCGACCAAAAAAGGCGAACGATCCAACCACCGGTATCATACTCGCCCACACCATCCGCAACCAACATTCTGACCAGGAAAGGAAAGGGAAGAAAACCCACCATCAAGGCACAGAACCCGGTGATATTATCAGTAAACAAAGATAAAAAATAAAAATAAAAAACAAAAGAGAATTAGAACCCAACGTGGGGGTCGAACCCACAGCCTTCAGATAGCAGATCCAAAACCAGTGAATTAGAAGTCTGACGCGCTACCATTGCGCCAGTCGGGTGATTCATGCACAAACTGCCAAAATTGCAATCCGTATACCCAACCTGCCACGTGAGTCGACGGAAATTGAAGAGCCACCTGCCCGGCCAATGAGGAAGCGGAATGACTTTCTCGAGATGGCTCGGTGGTCTTTTATAGTACTCTTACTCTCACCCTTGTCACTCCTTTGGGGGGTTTGCGCGACTTTTTTTTTTTTTCCAGCGGGGGAAGAGCTTAAACACAGTATATGTTGGCCGAAGGGCAATTAAGAAAAAAGGCTCGACATTTTTTGGCTGGGAGATCATGGGATACTAATGATGACAGACTGAGGCAGAGGGTGACTATCATCGATTCTATTGCGAATTCAGCCCTATTCTCATACCAAGTTCGGTTCTCGCACTTATCTCTTCACACCACCGGTATCTGAAATCACTAAAAGCAGCAGTAAACCATCGCCATCCCTAACACAGACCATCTCTTTTATTTAAATCCATGTTGTCATTACCGCAACAGGTATCTCGCATGGGCCGCATGTACAGTACAGCATCATAAATCAGTACCAAGAGAAAGCACCAACCGAGTGGCATGCCATGATCATACAAAACTAAGCATACTCCACATACAACTACTACTGCCATCTATCACCAAACAGGTAAAGAAAAAAGGACTACAAGAGAACACAGATAAAACAAGAATAGAATAAAAAAGACAAAGAATTTTCATTCCGTAAACCCCGTATGCTCCCGCCAACAAATTGTCCAAACATCTGCGCTTCCGAATTAGCAGATTATCCGACGACGCCTTGAATGGCTTCTTCGAGCGTGTCCTCCATGCCGCCTACATCAACTTCCATCCCTTCGCCGAGCACCCACTCGCCGGCTGCTTCAGCTGCCTCTAGGCCACTCTTGCCCGGGCGTTCTAGCTCCTGCGTGCGCTCTTGCTCCGTTTCAAATCCTGCCCGCGCGTTAAACATTAGCTGTAGGGCGATCGCGAATACAACCACGCCAACCAGTGAGATCAACACCAGGAAGGCGGTTAGTTTCACGGAGGTTTGTCGGAGCTGCCATTTACCCTCGGTTTCGAACACTGGAATATAAAATACAACGACAGTGTTGCCCATCGATGTAGTTGCCAATTTGACAGTCGTGCCGGAGGATGGGAGAGGTGAGAAGGCAAGTTTGGTAATTTGAAAGGGATGCACATCTTTGAAAGTTTTGACTGCCTTAATTTGTCCTCCGACAAGGAATAGTTGGACGCTTCTGTCTGCACCAGCGACGGCCAGAAGTGTGCTAGTTGGCGAGAGCATTAAGGAGTCCACGCTAGTAACTGCTTTTACCCCGCAGTGTACGTTTCGTCTTGAAATGACTTCCCCCGAAGGATCGATGAGTAGTATAATGGCACCCGAGCGTCCGAAAAGATTGTACACTACCGCCAGTCCACCGTTGTTGGAGAACCGAACGGACCGGAAGCTGCCCTTCGGCCTGTCTGAGCTCTTCCATTTCAAGGCGATAGGTTCTAAGCGCTGCTCCTCCTTCTCCGTAGATGCGATGTAGATGTCCCCCGGTGAGCAATATGCCACTCGTTTCCCGTCCCTCGATATATCCACGTCCCCAACCTCTTCCTTCCCAGGCAATCGTATCCGCCGCTTCACGCTCAAGGAGGAAACATCAATAATCACAACCTCCGACGCCGAAGCCGGCGCCAGCCCACTCCCGCTCGCGATAACCGCCGCTTTTCCCTCCCCGTCGACACGGACCAGTCGCTGATACGTCTCTGCATCTGGGTGACTGAACAATGCGTGCTTGGAAGCAAGACTGATCTCGCCTTCTTTCGGAACATCAAAGACCCGGAAATGTTCGTTCGACTTGGCTTTTTGAGAAGAGTTAATTCCAGCGAGTGCTTTGACTCCCGACGAGGTGCTCAGAGCTGAGAGCGACATGACGGCGTCTTCATCTTTACTAAGTTCGATTTCCGACGTCACCGTTAAAGGTTTTCCCGGCTTCGTCAAGGTATCTAGCACCGTCTGTATCTAGTCAGCTTCGCTCACAAGAGGCCAATTTGTCGGAGGCGAGAAGAGAGCCAACAATTTTGTTACCAACACCGCTACGCCCTTCGCCCCCCCCACCAGCAACAAGCAAGCGGTCAGCATCGATAAAGGATGCGCCGAACAGTGGGTATGAAAGTGTGAGCTTCTCAGAAGTTATCGAAGGTGCCATGTTGTAGGTTAAATCGTTGGGTAGGGGAGCCTTTTGTGGCAGAAAGAAGACAAGACCAACTCTTGGGGGAAAGAGAAGCTGTCGACGTGTTCCTGAAATTTGAGCCTCATTCTTGGCGAGCCATCTCATTTGGTCCTAAACATGCGATCACGTTTTCTCACTCGGGAATCGTAATTTTGAAACATTTTCGAACTTCCCCAAACCCAACCCATATTATAGGAAGGCCTATAGTATGGCATTCGGTACATTGACCATCCGCCAGGCATCCAAAAGTGTAGGATGGGGCGAAATATGGAATTGATCCTTTCTTCCTACCTTAATGTGGTTTTAACGTGTGACACCGCTTTATTAAAGCAGCTAATCAGGAATAGAACGTTTCAAGGAAGGTATCTGAGTAACTCAGCAATCCGCAGTCCACAGGTAACCGACAATGCTCAGACCCCAGGGCGGGATATGTGTCACTGTTCCAGGCTCGAGAGGTGCAAGAATTGTCAAAGCGGAGGATGAAGGTATTCATTGGGCGCCTGCACTGACAAGGTATCGATCCATTGGCGGCGGAATTCTCTCCCCGAATGTCGTGAATCGTCTTTCGGATGCCCTGAGAATATTCGGACGAGTAGATACTCCTGTAACGGGAGGAGTGGAGTACCGTACCCGAATGAGGGCTGGTGAGGAGCAGTCGTCAAGCCGTATACAGGTCGAATGGCGCCCGGGGAAATTAATAATCGACGTGGACAGCCCTGCAGCGCCACCTCCTATGATTTGTAAAGCCTACCTTCGCTCTCTGCGCGGGTAATGCAGATGGAATGACTGTTTCACTCCGGTTGAATATCACCGAAGACATCTCGGGTCCCAATTAGTGGGGGTCTCCCTGCGCATAGCTACACCTACCGTACGGTAGTTTACCTCCGTTGACACTTTTAACATCATAGCTCCAAACGACACAACAGCAGCAAACAATACATTCGCTATATCCTTTGATGTTGGGGAAGCTGCTGGACAGGCATTCTACTTTGGACCGGTTTTGGCCTGCATACAAGGACCGGCCTGAGGGTCTACGGAAGGATTTAGCACTAGTCTTGCATGATTTCAAAGCAAAGCTCCCCGGATTTCCAGGAGGAGGTAATAGTCTTGAAAGGTTGAGCGTTGACACAAGACAGCAATAGAAGAAAAATGTCGGACCATTGATGGACAGGTCAGGAAGACATGTAGTTTGGGTTGGTGGGATCCCAAAAGAGATTTTTGGACAAGCGCTACTGTAACACCGATGGGTTTGTGCGCTCTTGGTTGACTACCGGTATGGGAATTTTTGGAGCTTTGCTGTAACTAATGATCGTAACAGCCTACCAGTAAGTTGTCTCGAGTTTCCGGGGGCGGGACATCCCTTTGATCCCTCGTTAGAGATCCCCTACGACAAGGGATGCTGGGAGCCAAGGTACTTGTACGAGTACTTTGCCAAGAAAATATCGCCCAAATTCAATCCCCAAAGAATTTTCAGCCACCAGCCCGATGAGAATACGGGTCCAGTAGGTGATAGAGTGGATGATTCTCTACTTGCCAATTCGCAAAGTGCCCGGAAGCTAACAGAGAGAATAGGAATATCTCAAGCTTTCATGGAGATATTGGGGTTTAGAAGTGGGTCAAATTTTGGGTAGGAGCAGGGGGATATCCGGGATGGGTTAGTTAGGTTCAATTCCTCGCCAAACATGGACACCCTGAGCACTTCAGCAGGGCATTCGTTAAAGGCGTAACGAAGGTTGCCTCAGCGATAGTTATTTACTATGATACTTGCGCTGACCAGCGTTCTTGGGGGTTCTATAGACTGCTTACCCGAATATCGAAATATCACGTGAGGGGGTATGCTCGACTCTCGATGGGAATTGCCGCCCGCAAGGGACCACTACCGGTATCAGAACTCCACAATTCTCCGGAGACAGCTCCAGCGACGCCGAAAATGGGCAGAAAGCCCCCCTGGACGCGAAAGAGCCACGGCCCCCAAGTATCTCGGACGTTTTGGTGAGGAGTGAAATGGCAAAGCCGACAACAATGGGAGTTGTTACCGGCAGCAGACGCCCTCCGGGTTCAAAGGGACGGAGACATTACCCATTCCAAATCCAAAGAAGGGCTTTAATCCTTGCATCGGCCGTGGTGATAGCACTGGAGCAAGAGTTTACGTGAAGGTATAGACTCGAGTATACATACAGGTATACCCCTTCATTAGGTTATAAACCTATCTGGCAGCTCGTCGCGGGCGGTTAGCTAAGCTTATGCACTTTTCCATGCGGCTGGCGAAGGTAGCGAAAGGACTTGTGCCATGGGCCCTGAGTGTCGATTTTAGCATCGCCAGGGTCAATTGCTCAATGATCAACCCTAAAGATGGGCGCGGGTTCAATTTCGTTGGAAATGTAACAGCGATTTCGTGAAAGGGGATTGATGTTGAGGTTGGTGTTGGAGGCGGGGAGGGGGGCATGTTGCAGTGGGATGTCACGGGATTGTAGATCGTTGCAGTTGGGCTCAATTGAGAGGCTCAATTGAGGAATGGATGAATACTGTACTGTACCTGTACTACCGGTAGTACAGTACTCGTACTCGAGGAGATGGGAAATTATTACAGGCAGCAAGAAGGTGTCATAGGATAGGCGGGGCAGGTAGGGCACTGCGCCATAATGCAAAACTGCTTGTAGAAGGAAGTGTCAAATTAACCAACGGGCGAATGAACGAATGAACAAACAAACAAACCAATGGATAAAAGCGGATAGTAAGAGTGTAACAGAATGGAAATAGAATCGCAGTAAATAATCTTTTAATAGGCGTAGGAGATTATAAGAGGCAGCCCCCTTAGCGGGAATCTGTAACCGGCACCAAGCGAGCCCGCCAACCTAGCCAACCCGTCTATTTCGGGAACCTGTAACATGCGTTAACCCCAGCCCTGGCACTGCAACGCTCAAGTGCAGCTGGCAAAGGATGTTGAATCCACAACACGATAATTTATGTCGCTGTAGATCTGATCCGCCTTCCCCCGAGTTATACGGGTATATATGATACCAGTACTGTACAGTGTCGTGCCCCATCGTAACTTATAGTTACAATAGTCCCCACGATAGTTATAGTATCATACCGTCTGCCGTACCGGTACGAGTACAGTACTGTACTGGTACTGTACCAGCGCTCACCCCACTCGCCCCCGAAAACAAGACAACTGCTCCCCTTGTATCCGAATGCGCGCGCTTACAGTGCTCGAGTACTCAAAGTCCCCATGATACAGTACTTGTATCATACAAATACCCTATCCAGTTCAGTAAACCATTCATTATTTCCCCTTGTGGTATTTTCAGCCTCTAGCCTAACCCCAAATAGGACAGCTGAGTCGCAGGACCCTACGTAATAAATCACTTGCCAAGACGGCGACCCACTGATCCGGGGGATTTGTCGGGCATAACGTCCTTCCGTCCGACGTTCCTTTTCTTACATACATTTTAACTTTACTCACCCTTTCACTTCCGCCTCGAGCATGGCCAGGCGGACTGAGCTGGAGACGGAGGCAGGCCCGAGTACCATTCTGTGTGCTCGTACTTGTTATAGTGAGAATCGGGCCCGTTTTACTTTTTCGCCTCTTCTCTCTCCCCTTGGGTTGGCTTGGGGGTGCGGAAGTTGATGATGATGTGATCAGTCTTTGTTTCTTGGGGGCTGGGTTAAGGGTCAGGAAGGTACTCGCACTCTGCTCGAGTACCGGTATTGTGTCGTGTTTGAACTCGAGATCGGTATACGGACACTGTATGGTAAGTGAGAAGGACCGCCCGCCGTGAACAATTTGGAGGATGGTTTACTTTACTGTGGCTGGACCCCTGTAGTACCGGTATGATACCTTATACTTCCGTCCTTGCCTTGTTCCTAGAAATGATTTGGCTCTATGGATGAGCGGGTGGGCGATGAATGATGGGGGGAGGGGGCAGGGGGTTTCTTTCTTGTCCGCTTGTGGATCCGGGTTAGTGGGTGTGTGGTAAGGGTTGAGTGGTGTAAGCCATCTATGACACTATAGAAATGGCACATTACGCCCTTATTCCCCGTGTCTACCTTTTATTTCCATGGCTCTTGTCCTTCTTGTCTCCCTTTTGTTTGCCTCTTTCTTGAAATTCAATTCTTTTCCCACTCGTTCCCTGGTCTTGACTTCTTGGGGTTCTGGGTAGTATGCAGAAGGATTGATAACCTCCTCCCCTCTCCTCTTCCCCTCCACACACACACACACAAACACTTGACAAATTCCTTCCATCCACCGAGTCTGTTCGTTTCATTTTGCAGTTAGGTCTTTGCCCACGATACGTCCACCGCACAAAGAAAGCGGCTACTACACACATTCCCTATACCATTCGCTACCAAACAATTAGAGCCAACCACCCGCCCACCCTCATAGAGAGAGAGAAAAAAAGATGTCGGACCTTTATGGAACCACCTCCAAAAAATCCCTAATTGCTGCACTCGCCATTGCGGGCGTCATTGTCTTCCTCTTTCTTGTCGGCCTGGGAGTGATGCTGTGGTGCTACTTCCGTGCGAAACCCGGCTCGCAAATTGACGCCTTATACCCGCGCGACGTGGAGTCTACCAGGACATTTATTCCTTCCTCAACCACTGCCATTGCTGGTATGTTCCCCTTATTTTATTTTTTACTGTGCATTAGTGCTTGGAGTGCTGAGGTTTAATGAATGGGTAGGTTGGAATGAGAAGGCCCCGTCGACAGCCACCGGTTCCAGCGAGGGGAGTTTGGAGGAGGGGAGTTTGGAGGGTGGGCGTGGAGGGGGGCAGAATGTGGAGGCCCCGCAGGTAGCGATGTCTAGGCATTCCAGTGCCTCGGATACGAGCCAGAATTTAAACGGGTTGAGGCCGGTCGAGCCTGCTGCGATTGTTAGGTAGTTGCAGCCGCGCTACGTATCTACGGTTGAAGGATGGATGGTCTAGATATTGCCAGCAGATAGACACTAGTTTTCTTCTCAATTTCTTTCCTTTCCTTTTCAAAAATTTCTTTTTCCCCAAAAGAGAACAGACTCTCATTTACGAAGTCATGAGGTGGGGAGGGATGGGTACTGCATAGAAAGCATACTTGCATACTGGCGTTTTTTAAGGGATTTTCCGGGTTTCATTTTTTTCATATGTCTTTGGGTGGATATATTGGGGGAAGGAGAGGGAGGAGTAAGGAGGTCTGTTGGGAGTGGTAATCGTAGTGCACACTGTACAGTACACTTCGGGGGGGGGTTTTTTTCTTTTCATTTTGTATTCATATATAGCATAAGACTTGGGAAGTGGTATATACATATATTTTCTTTCTTCCATTCATTGCATTCATTTGAGCTTTTCTTTATTTTGCTTTTCGGAATTTGTGCATTATTTTAATTGCAATAATGTTGCTATATAGTCACTCAGTCGCTTGGTTCACGTATACTTGCTCTGGGTATTTTTTCTTCTTCTTTCTTTTCCTCCCCTTAGGCCTTGGTCGATTGGGCCATCTATCTTTTAGCTACCGGTAATTCCCAATATCAATCCTATCTCTTCACCCTTATGCATTGGGCTGATCTATCACCGGAAATACAGGAGCGGGCGCGTGGAGCTCACAATAATACTTGTGCAAGTCAACACAATCACACAATCCTAACACCCTCCCAGTACAGTACAGTACAGTACACACAAACAACCTCTCCCCATGATACCAACTCGCGCCTTCCGATAGACTGACAAACCCCCACCGGAATTTAGAGTACCGCACACTACAGAGCATACAGAGAATTTCCCACGGTGCCAAGTGGGAAATCGAGTTATGGGAGATTTGGCCGGGATGATATCATACGTATTTCAGTACCGTACCGTGGAAACTCGAATACACGGAGCACGAGCTGTGTCGTCCGGAATTCCCTCCTAGGGAAAAGTGCGACTAAGTAGCTGCTTCCCTGGACGGATGTATAATTTAAATTTAAATTTAAAAATCAGACCTTACTGGGGAGAGGTGACTTTTCCATCCTCGCGTGTGTGATCCGATCGTTATGGTGTATGTGGCTGGAGTGGATTTTGTCGTTTTGTTTTGTTTGTGTGGTTGCTTCGGGGTCGTTTAGGAGCTGGCTTTGCTTGGGGGGGTTTTGTTCTCTGAGGCTGTGGTGCTGGAATATGATACAGTGTTCTATGACGGTAGTTTTTATTTAACCCACTGTATGATACGAGTACAGTACTCGTACTGGTGCTCTGGCGTGGTGGGACGATACCGGTGCCTTAGATCGCACGCACATCCTGGCTCACCCGTTTGCTTGCCCGTTGCGCTTTTATCCACGGGTATCGTAGTCAATCGGCCGACGTGCAGCGCAGATCGATCCGTGAGAATAGATTTGTGAGACATTCGGGAGTCCACCTCCCCGGAAATCTCTCCGTGGTGTGGTGTGAACACTTACTCGTATTACGAGAACTATGATACAACCCGGCGGAAGAGCAAAAGGAGGTATGGAGTTGAATTACGGAGGTGAGGAGGGGCGAGAAAGGGAAAGAAGAAAAATAAAGCCCCACGCGGGGGTCGAACCCGCAACCTTGAGATTAAGAGTCTCACGCTCTACCGATTGAGCTAGCGAGGCTTGTTTGAACAATTCTCATCTTTCGTGAGTATGTATGCACTTTACAATAGCATTGAGGAATAATCACGGAATACTGCGACTGTCAGCAGGGAATTAACCTGGAATATCCTCTCCGCCGGGTAGTGCTGTGCTAGCCCCTCCTTCTCAGGGGCAAATATTACAGTAGACCAGAAATTCTGACCGCCGGGCCCCTCGGCAGCAAGAACTAGAACGGAACCCTGAAAGTGCATCTCCGCTCACAAACCTGTACAGTACCATACATCACCATAGAGTATTGACGCTATAATAGATAACGCCCCAAAAATACCACCCACGCCAGCGAATAAACCGCACGTCCAACTGAACAAGCCAAGAAAGTACCGTTCTATCGCACTCTCACTACACCTTTCCTTCCTTCTAGCGTTTTGTCTGCATGGTCATGCCAATGTCACATTTACCGGGGTGGGCTGGCACTCAGGAATGCGGCGGCGTGCGCGGATTAAATTACTTGGTCGTGGGTGTTGTGTGTACTGGTACTTGCTTTACGGTGCTATAACTGAGGAAGTTCGTACGTACGTAGCACGGCTGGTGGGTGGGTGGGTGGTTGGGTATTGACCGTGCGGCTCGTGAATGTCTGTTTTGGAGGAGTGGACCGCTTGTGTGCTTGCTTCACTCTGGCTGTGCTAGGCCTTTATTTTTTGGTTATGATGGCTTACCTTCCATACCGCACTGTATATTCACCAAAGGGGCCTTACAAGAAAAGGTAAAGTAGGGCGGGGTAGAGTAGAGAGTAGAGGCTGGGGTGTTTTCTAAGGGGGTTTGGGAGGAGGAGGTTGTGTATTAGTATCATATTATTAAGTTAGTAGTAACTCTTAATAAACCCTTGTAGGATTCCACTATTTTCCAGAATGGTAGAAACCATTTAACAAAAGTCTTTCCGACCGCTGAAACCCTACTGCAGAAAAAAGATCCTTTCATCACTCCCTCATTCCTCCCACCTCGCCAAGCTTGGAGATCTGGAGTCTGCAGCACTCCGTCCACGGCGGTGTCTCCCCAGGCGATCTACTGGGGGAGATACGCAAGGGAGGCGATTGGATCTTTCCTTGACTGTTTCGATATGTCTTCACTACCGCAAACCGAGACATCAATATTGTCAACGTTACGCAGCATCAAAACACTGACCGAACCCCTGATTCGCTCCTGGCGGGCGGGGAAGTCCCTATGAACCAACTTCAAAAAGGGCGCAATATCTCGGTGAGTTTGGTCGAGGACGGGTGACTCGAAGGGATGAGAGTTGCAGGATATCGTAGCTGAAAACCACCCGCGAGAGAGGATCTTCGCCGCACCTCCCAGGACGACTACGGTTCAGGGAAAACCGGAGCCAAATAAACTCCTTCTTGCGAAATACGCTAGCTGGTGAGGACCACCAATGTCTACAGGGTTGGGCTTCACGAGCCGTCACTCGCAAGGCACAAAATTTAACCTGTTGAAGATATCATACGTAGACGATTGGGCACTAGAGCGCTAAAAAGTTTTTCCTTACATCTTGTTTTATTTCCTTTCCTTCTCCCTTCTGTCATAACCTTGCTTACTCAATTGAACTCTCTGCTCGCTTCGCTTCTTCCCTGTCTCTCATCTAGCTCTCATCTGGTTTGACTCTACACTTCGTGTCATAATTCTTGTGTTCGGCTACTCTCTTCTCCTTTATCCGCCTCACACCGTAAAACCGCCCTTCTCATAATTGCCATTTCACACATTTTTCAACATAACCCCCCCCCCCCCCCGATGGACCTGTGTTTTTTCAGCACCAAATTACAAATTCGAGACCCAAGGGAAGGACCGGCCACAACGGGCGTAGGGGGCATCCTGCTTGCGATGTGGTGGGTAGCGTGAGAGGTACTGGGGGGGCGGGGGGTGGGAGAGAAGAAAGGAGAGATCGCATATCGTAAAGTTGATGTAGCCTCTCGACCGAGGTTCCATGCGCACGGGCAATGGAATGGTTGGGGCTTATGGTGTCTCGGGGTTGGTGTCGAGAGAAGGAGATTAACCTGGTCTGATTTATGCATCACTATGCCGGGAAGTATCATTCGGTATACTTCAAAGGAACCACCGAGCACAGACCTTCTTAAGACTCCTCGGTTGGGGCAAGCGAGTGATCATACGTGGGCGGGTGCGGTTTAGCTATGATAGTTATCCTAACAAGCTTAGCTCGTAGTAAACTCCGGTCGCAACTGCAGTATATCTGAAGTGGAAAAAGCTCAAACCCCCCCGAGGGGAATTTATTTCATTCGCAAAGTTAATTCTACATTACCATCCCGCGCTTCGCGACTAGGTTAGCCTGGAACTAGGAAAGCAAGAACCACGAGGGACTACTCCACCTCACTGGGTTCGCAGCAGCGAGTATTGCACTATGACCCCAAAGCCACCTCCGACTACCCAACGCAAAGAGCCCTCCGGCTATTGCCCGCAAAGTCCTTCCCACCGAGCCATAGCACGGAATGACCGCAAGGTTTATCTCTACGATTCCCTGGCCGTTGGCATTGCTGACCACGTAAGCGCATGTGGGTTTATATGGAAGTGGTTCTGAAGGTAACCAAATGGCTTGTTTGCGGTCCCCCTTCGAAAGAGGGTTTTTAATCGGAGAGAAATGTTGGGGTTTCAGGTTAAGGACTTTTGCTCGTTTTGTACTGGTTAATTGTGGCTGCTTTCTAAAGTTGGGTTGGTTCGCATGACATCCTCCATGTCTACTTCCCGCCTGGTGTCCTTGGCCGTCCGGTCTTACCAGCGGCAGTTATTATATGAATGGTCTGAAGACCAACCGTATTGTGCTCCATGTTGGTCAGTTGACTATCCTTATTACTTGGAAAGATAGAATTCAGCTAGCCGGCAAGCTTCCGATGTTACTTATCGTTCTAACCAGGGGCTAACTAACACGCCTCTTACATACGCACTGTCGCCCACTTATGGTAGGAAGCCCCGATTTCCGAGCACGATCGCAGGAATGGGACTTCTGCTCGCACTATGCCGTACGAGAACATATAATACCGCTGCGCCTGATTGCGCATCCAAACCCCCACCCGAAAGGCAGCCTACCAGAGCTCGGACATGATTATACCCTCCCGAAGCCGGCCCGTTTGGTTCAAGTATCTCTCGTGAGGCACGTATACCGTACTGTACTTGATGGGCACAGGACTCGCGCGGTGACACTACATCGCCCATCGAATACAGTAGCCAACGGCAGATGAGCGCTCAACAGTCACCACCACGTACTCGAGTAGCTGCCTAATCCCCAATCCCCAATCCCAAATCTCCGGTCGGTCACATCTGCAAACCGCTGAGAGAGATGAGCCGCTGGACGCGCCCCACCCGATCTGCCGAGTACCGGTATCCTATTAGGAAGGTCGTACGGACACTTGTGCTGCGCCTTTAGGGCGCGGTGCTTCTTCTCTGTTTTCATTTTTCTTTTGCATGGTGCACTCGAGCACCGGATTTGACAGAGTGGTTTGCAGCGCCAAGTAACATCAAACTATCGGCACTTTACCAGCCGCTGCATCGCCTCCCTGGCATGAATATAAATCGATCCTTACAATTGCCTTCCTACCCCGCTTTTCGCCCTGCTAGCTAGGGGGGCGGTTGTGGGGTAAAACACCAAGCTAACTCTCACGATCCCTCCATCCAAGACCGAGCCTGAAGTTTCGTGGGCTTGCGGGAACTCATTGTGGGACCAGACAAAAGCCCATCAGCCGAATTCGGTAGCGAGTAGCGTTGGTATTACGAGTACACTGCCTCCGGCTGACGTGAAAGCTTGTCCGGCCAGTTGTGCGGGAGACCCTCTGGAGGGCAATATGCTGGGTGAGCCTCCTCTGACCTTAGTATCATACCAAAGAATTCCTGATCAACACTGGGGTTGCCCTACGGATCCCCTCACTATCCTAAGGGGATGGGATGGTGAGCGTTGGGACTGTGTCAGATTTTTTTTTGCTGGTGTCTACCCTAATGGTTGTGTGTTCCTTTTCAGGCACCGAGTTAAGTTTTGGGAGGGGATTGCGGGGTTGACTAGAAATCAGAGGGACCGGAAGGGTTGGGGCCATTGGGCATGATTGGGATGCTTTCCCTTGGTTGGTTTTTCTCATATGTCGTCTGGTAACCTAGCGGTTGTGTACGATGATTTCGCCGTGGCACATCGGGGGATTTAACGAAAAGGCAGTGTATAGTAACGCACGGAGTATCGGTACTCAACTACGGTACTCGTACAGTAGTACTTGCGGGGTTTTGGTGTCGGAGTTGGTCGGTAGGTATGACTGTGGTCGCTTATTTTGGGTCCAATGGGTGGATTGTTGGACAAGGGGTGCACAAGATCATAATATTGTGGCACTATGGTGGCAATGTTAGAAAGTTCGCCCATGAAGGAGGTGTACTAGTACCGGTCCTGTACTGTACTATCGATTATTGGTTAAGCCAGGCCAGGCAGGAAAACCAATTCGGCCGGCCCCCCCTGTATCGAAGTGCGTGGGATACCGGTACTTTGTTTGCTTATTTGTTTTTCCTGCTTGTTGGCAATAGTGTTGTGATACAAGTATTCGGAACTCCTTAAGACAGTCAGCCAATCTATCTGTAGAGTCTATATTGCTGTTTTCACCTTGGTTGTCGCAACTTTGGAAAACTGGGGACGCAGTTTTTTTTTCCGACAGATGGTGGTTTCTTCTCAAATTAATTTCCCGAGCTAGCGTTAAGGCCGTGCCCAAACAAAAAGATCTAATATTTGCTGAGGAGAGGCAAGAAGTGTCACCCTCAGTTCTCAAGGATTCCCCTCCCAGTGGCGCATTTAAAATTGCGGGAGAAAAGAATCAACAAAACGACAACGGCTGTTTTCCAAAATTGGAACAACCAAGATGAAAACAGCAATATTTGCTGAGGTTGAAGGAGAGAAAAAATAAGCAATAAATTCGCTTAGGGATATCGAGTGACCTAATGTGATTTACTAGTTTTCCTGTGGTCCTTCCTTCCTTCCTGCGCTAGCGCTGTTCTTGTCTATGCGTGGCGCTTGTGCTAAAGATGTGTGCTTCCAATGTCCGGGGAAGGGAACAAAAGTCTGGATTTGCCTGAAATTACAAGGTATTCCCGGCCCTGATCATCTTGCTTGTCTGGAAATACCCCGAGGAAATTGGTGTTTGTCGGTACGGTAGTAGGATTCTTTCCCCTGTTGATAGAGCAGTCGATGTGCATTGGGTCTGGTAGCTGTGGCTGTGTGGCCGATTGAGGCGAATCGAGGAGGCAACCTATGGGATGATACTATTGTATGCTGATAATAGGCAGCCAAGTGTAGATGTTATACTGGTTTCGTATATTTCAATCCGCTGTTGGAGAGAAACCTTTGCTCAAGGATGGGTGTAATAGTCCGTGCGGGCTTGTAAATAATACTTCAAGGATTCGGGTGTGGAAGGTCTGATTGATAACGCTGGTCGGGGGGCGATCCTCAGGGAATACTGGTACAAGAGCACAATGCGGGTATCGGTAATAGCGTTTAGAGCTTGAGCCCTGCAAACGGTGAGGTAGAGTAACGTCTAGTAGGAGTTGGATCGCCGCTCGAATCGGATTCAGAAGGATCACGAGCCGGTATTAAATGTTTGGGTAAAACGCCACCGCTGCCATTCCCGCACCCTCGCATCCCCCGTCCCCAACTCGAGTAATCACCAGGATAGATTACCGAGCAAACACTTAGCGAGAGTCCAAACCAACCGCATGATTGACTGAGCATACCGGTACAGTACTCGTACAGGTGGTTATCAAAAATTGACCTGTCGAGTCTGACTTCTCTTGGGAGGGTCTCAAAAAGGAGATCACAATTTCCACAAACACATGTAAATTGCGCCAAAATCCCTGTTCCCACTCAATCGGGTTTCGCCGCTATCGATGGTAAATCGGAACCTGCCAAAGAAGTGGGCGGATATGATGTTGTTATAAACCATACTTGTACGAGTACAGTACAGTACTGTGCTCGAGTGACCGAAATGGGAAGATTGCTTCCTCCCTCCCCGAAATACCCCCCATTTTTTCTTCTAAGTGTGGGCGTGGTGGTGGTGGGCTTGGCTTGTTTTTGGGAAAACCTCTCCCCTCATCCTCTGATCGCTGCGAGTAGCTATTGTTCCTTATGTGCCCCCGGGAATGAGGTTGGGGCGATTCGGGTCGTGGGGATGGGAGGGAACGGAATGTGGATCGATGGGATGGAATTTGGAAACTGTAGATAGTAGCGGTATGGGATGGGGCGAGCTTCCCTAGTCTGGAAACATCTAGAATTATGGGAATAGCAAAAAAGGGTAGACTTTAAGTTGATACAAGTATGTACAGGATTGGGGGATCGAGAGCTCCGTGATCTGAGGAAAGTACCGTATAGTATTGTACTGTACCAGATGAATTTCCGCCCCTGTGTGTTTCGATATTATGATAGATATGCCAGTTAGTAGACGGCCATTATTGAATGATTACTGTACGAGTACTGTACTGTAGAATTGACGCCTGCATTCCTATGCACCACATACACCCCTTACGGAAATGTTCCCTGCGAGTTGCTATCAGTAATACCATTCTACCACTTCTCACGCCATACGCATATCAGGAGGGAGGAATAACTACCACACCCTTTCCTCTCTCCATTTCTTCCTCACCACAACCACCCCAGCCCAACCACATTCACCAACCTCGAACTGAAATGGCAGAGACTCAACCTGATGCACCGCAAATCATCGAAGCTGACGATCCTGGGTCGGGCAGTGACGATGAGTCGGCTTACGGATCTGGAGTGTAAGTCCCCTTACATTTTGTGCATGTGTTTGTTTGCTTGGAGATTAACTTCGCCCGGTTTGCCAGGCCAAGCGACACCACTTCCCTTGCATCGGAGGTACGGGCATACGTATATGAGAATGGCCGCCAGTAGGCTTCTTCCTTTCACCGGACCTGACTAAAGTCTAACATATATTTCAGATACCATGCATACAGCCAAGGTCACTATTGGGCTCCCAACGACGGGAAACAAAATGAGCAATTAGATATCTTGTTTGTCAATCTTTTCCACCTTTTGGTTCCCGGAAGGCGACAGCCAAACTAACGTTCACTAGCCACCACGTTTATTCGCTCGTGCTGGACGGAAATCTCCATCTCGCTCCTATAGGAGAACATCCTCAAAAAATCCTGGATATCGGAACCGGAACTGGGATCTGGGCAATTGATATGGCAGACGCTTATCCCAGCGCTCAAATAATCGGAAATGATTTATCTCCCATTCAACCGAGCTGGTGGTTCCCCTAAATAACCTGAACTACTCCCCGTGCCTCTTTCTACGGCTTGCTAACTTTGGCTGTGTTGTTTGTAAAGGGTCCCTGCAAATTGTCAGTTCGAAGTAGACGATTTCACAAAACCCTGGACATACTCCCGCGATTCATTCGACTTTATCCACGCCCGTGGGATTTATGGCTCTGTGGGGTCATGGCCTATCCTTCTTCGCGAAGCATACTCCAGAATTAAGCCTGGTGGATGGTTCGAATCTGTGGAGACTACAGTTGGATACTATCATGACGATGGTCCCCGTGGCGAGGGACAATTAATTCCCAAAGATAACCCGGTTTACAAATGGTGCCGGCTTGGCCTTGAGGCTGCGGAGAGGATTGGGAAGCCGTTTGATGTTGCCGGGAAAGTTGATGGGTGGTTGGAGGATGTTGGCTTCATAAATGTCACGCAGAAGGAGTATAAAGTTCCTACAGGGGCTTGGCCGAGAGATGCACACATGAAGGATATCGGAAAGTACAATCTGCTGAATATGTTGGAGGCAATTGAGGGGTTTACTATTGCGCTTTTCACTCGTGTTCTTGGGGTTTGTCGCCGTCCGGATGGTTTTTGGGGGTGTTGGTTATATATCATACTGATGAGGGTTTAGTGGAGTCTGATGGAAACTCAGGTCATCCTCGCGCAGGTGAGGACTGAGCTCACCGACAAACGGAATCACTTTTACTTCAAGATGTTTGTTCCATTCGCTTTTCTTTCCTAGTGTATATTCGCTGATTTGACGGAATAGGTACGTTGCATATGGTCAAAAGCCTGAAATCACTGAGCAGGAGGAGGGGGGTTGATTTAGCGCTAGCCTTCTTTGAATGAGAAATGTTTATGACGCTCCCATTTACAAGCCCAATAGTCGGCCGCCTGGATCAATTGTGTTGTGCGTGTCCTTCTCCCGTAAAAGTTTCATTTCGTAAAAGTCAGGTTAATGCTAGTGCGGGGTTTGTCTAATCACCTCGTGGTATTTGCTTGAATTGTGGCGATTCGGGAGCCCTCTCGTTGGCCGGTTGTCCGTGGTTCCAGTACTACTTTTAGGAAAACGATACGGTAATAGAAAGGATAATTGTATGTTATGGCTTCTGTGGAGTCGCAGTCACAGGAATAAGTGGAGTTCACAGCAACCCAGCACCACTAAAATTCATTGGCATAATAATTACCCCCTTTGAGTTATCCCGTTTCAGCATACTTTGCACTTTAGGAGAGACTTAATTTATATCGGTAGAAACCTTTAAGAATGTTGAAAATCAAACCTTGAATGAGCTCAAGTATTTCATGTCTTCCGTGTTTGATTTCTCTGGGTTCCATTGCCATCAAGTAAGGTAATTATGGTATGATAACAGGAGGAAAAATTATCTTAATTGTCCATATATATGATAGGTACTTTTTTTTTTTTGGTTGGGCCTTTATTTCGTTATCTGCGCTGACAGCATACTGGTATTGGGCTACTGGAGTTGCCAAAGGGTATGGAGCCGTATCAGGGGGTGTTTGGCAAATCAACGATTGTACGATAACTTAAGGTATATAAGGTGCCAAACCGCAGTTTGTATTATAAGGTATCATAGTATTATTATGGTATGGTATGCGTTGCCAAGTACTGTACTGTGCCCCTAAAAGCGATAATAAAATTAAGTGGCATCATAGAAACAGTCCAATTATTTCTTACTGGAAACCCTACATTACTGTGTTTTCAGAACCGCAATTCATAAGGTCTGAAAGCTCTATCATATCATACCTTTCCAAAAACTCGCTGCAAAACACCCCCTGAGACGCGACCGTGTGAGTATCATAACGATCCATGGGATATGACTGGCACTGTTCGGTATGCCCTGAAAAGTTCACTTGACGGTTTGACAGACGGCCCGGTTAGGTAAGAAGTGTGTGGGGGGGTGAGTTCTCTAACTACCAGAGCGCAACTGTTTCTACAAGTAGTCTTCTATAGAGTACAGTATGTGTAATAACAATGTCACGGGAGCAGCTCCAAATCTCGCAACATAACAACGACGTGCCGAACCGCTCACCGCCAGATTCTAGTTTTGAGACTACACCTACCGGTAGCATTGTTGGCACTTGAAGTGCCTTGTGCCGTGCCAATGTGCCCGGCACGGCACAAAGTAATACCAGAGGATGGTGAAATCAACCATTTGGCACAATTCAATTGTCAAGAATGGATTCACAACTTTTGCTCACTTCAACACTTTCTAATATTAAAATCCATCTTGCGGATAGGTGCTCCTTTCACCTATTACTTTTTCTCTTCTTGTTGAAGAACCGGTTTATATGTTCGCGTTTTGCCTGGGCACTATAAGATAGTGCCGTGCCGGGAACATTGATGTGGAGGCTTGTGCCATGGCACAAATTCTCTTCACCAAGTGCCAACAACTCTAGCTAACCGTGCCAAGGTTCCCACCGATTGTGTAACTGCACGCATTTGCAAATCTTGCGGCACGTCTATAACGTGCCCTACAGCTCAACGCCAGATTCACCTCAACACCAGGTTTTATAAAACTACTGAGCTTAAAATACAAGATTTCAACCACGCCTTCCAATCTGCTTCTCCTTTGCTCTTTGATTCCTAGTAGACCTTTTAAGCTCCTGAAGTATAGGCTTTCATTTTTTTATTTTTATTTTTTTTTCGGTTTCGGATTTCATCTTTTTTCGGAGACTCCTCAGGCGGGGAGACTGAGCGTATGCACGCTCCTAGTGAAGTGCCATAGCAATGCCCAACCACAGCAGAATAGTTTGATTGCTGTAACTCAAAAGACCTGAGGGTAATTCATGTACGCTCCCCCTTTTCCATAATCAACCAAAACCAATAACAGAAAATGAGACCACAAAACATGAGGCATGAGAGAAAGATGAAAGATAATATTGAAAAAAAAGTGAAAATAAAATAGAAAGATAGGTTCAGATCGTTCCCTCTATAAAATGCAAATCCCTAACCGGCTGAAATTCAAGATAATATTATCGGAGAAACTGGTCAAAAACAAGTATATGCATATGTCACAGTGGTCACCACATGAGAACAGTAATTTAGGAGAGAGGGTTGAGAGAAGGAGAAGAACTACTTGGCTGAGAGTGATGTTAAAGGTTAGTTAATATATTAAAGAAGTAGGTGAGAAATAAGAAACTGAATGATACTTACAAATATTTGGTGAATGGGGAAATAGGGTATGTGACCAGCTAGGAAGATTTAGTGATGGATTGGAAAAGTCCCATAACTCGGGCATGGAACTTGCAATATGTTCCTCATCAACATTACTTCCAGAGTAGCAAGCAGAGTGTAACGTGTTCACAAGGTGCTAATCACGTTATCGGTAAACGATACGATAGTTGGCAGGTGGCCTGCTCTTCCAGAGAGGAGACGAGAGCTGAGAACTAAAGGAGGCTTCAAGGGTGTACTGGGGAACAAAGAAGTAACCGTTCAACCAAGTATATTGAAATACTGTCTGTCGAAGTCTGCCTTTTCTATCGTAGAAATAGGCGGTTTTTAAATACACAAATCTGTTCATGTCTAGCATGAACGAAACTAATCAAAGGTATCAATCGATACACTCTTGTGAAACTAAATAAGTATCAAAGCGATACTTAAAACAAAACATAAAACAAAACCAAGTATCAAACGATACTTAAAACAAAACATAAAACAAAACTAAGTATCAAACGATACTTAAAACAAATCAAGTATCAAGGCGTTACTTAAAACAAAACATAAAACAAAACCAAGTATCAAACAATACTTAAAACAAAACATAAAACAAAACCAAGTATCAAACGATACTTAAAATAAAGTATAAAACAAAACCAAGTATCAAACGATACTTAAAACAAAGCATAAAACAAAACCAAGTATCAAATGATACTTAAAACAAAGCATAAAACAAAACCAAGTATCAAACGATACTTAAAACAAAGCATAAAACAAAACCAAGTATCAAACGATACTTAAAACAAAGTATAAAACAAAACCAAGTATCAAACGATACTTAAAACAAAGTATAAAACAAAACCAAGTATCAAACGATACTTAAAACAAAGTATAAAACAAAACCAAGTATCAAACGATACTTAAAACAAACCAAGTATCAAGGTGATACTTAAAACAAAACATAAAACAAAACCAGTAACCGAGTACCCGTACCGGTTACAAGGAGGGTTCTGTGCTCGGAGCAGGACTTGGAAAGTCTGCAACTAAGAGAAAGAATCATGGGAGTTGGATATCTTCAAATGAGGATATGGAAATTGTAGGATGCAAGGAGGAAAGCAATGGAGTAGTGGAGGAGGAGGAAGAGAGAGGGACAGATTGTAAAGGATTATCTTGGTAAGAGGAAAAGGTCAAGGTAAGTTCCTGTATCTGTTGCTCAACTTTATTAAGAAAACTATGAGAATTATCGGTAGAGGTGTCTTCAAGCTAATAAAATATTGCCTGAATCTGTTCGCTAACCTTGTGCATTCACAGAACACTGTCCATTCTTCTACTATTATCACCAGAAGCTACCACTTCCAATTGTCTTCGTCCTCTCTTCCTAGATCTGCAATCCTTATAAACCTTCATACCTCTTTCTCCAAAAAAATCAATAAACTTCTCCTACACCTCACCAGTCAAAAGTCCCTCTGCTTGGTCCAAGTGAGAGATTTGTCAACAAGAGAGAGTATAGCGGAGGAAGAAGATACAAGAACAAAATGGTAAGCCATCAATAAACTCCAACTGCGGTACTGACCTTTGCTGTTGGAGTCTAGCTGATACCTCACTCTCCTCAGATGCGATAAGCTTTTGAATTTTAAAAGTAAAGCGCATTAGGAGAGGATATATGGTTGAAAGGGTAGATATATGAGTAGTTGATTCAATGATATGTTTTTTTACTTGTGCCATAACATCATGTCTACAATCATCTATATTTTTCACACATCTATAAATAGCATAATATTTTCCATCTCCCTTCTATTGACCTTGTCCTCCGTTTATCTTCTGGTCAGACTCTACCAGGCAATGTGCACCTGAAACTCATACATCATACTCATCATGGCATAGGAAAGAAAACAAATTATAGTTGAAAAAATTCAACTTGTGACAAGAGTCAAAAAGGATAAGATAGCCACGATTGGCCAATATTTCTAGTTCTGGATGTGCAAAAACTAATCCTAGTTGATTATGGCCTTTTTCGCTAACTGTGTTGTAATTGTAGCTGTAATTGTCTCCTACAAATAACCCTTATCACTTAAAAATGTAGCTGCCTTTTCCCAATCGCTTGCGAGTGAGCTTCTATGCTCAAGTTTCCATACATTGTTCCGCTTATATTCTTCTCATAATACTCGCTTAATATTGCCTACATATTTTTTATAATGAAGGTAATATGAAATACTTTATTATTTGCAATTTATTTTCTTTAAAAGGTAATGGTTTATAATAATAATATAAGATACTTGCATGTCTAAAAGTTCTCCTCCGATAGAGGTGCATAAACTTCTTCCCCCATCATGTCCAGAACCTTTAAGTTCTTTTAATACTATAGCTGCTGAGTAGCCTTTTTCTAGTTTACGCAGGATAATTTCTCATAGAAAAAGCTGACGTCTTTTCCTTTCATGACAGATCTATCTGGTAATCATGCTTCTGTAATTCCTTGGGCTTGGTTTGCTGGATGTGAAATACAGGTAGTTGAGCCTTCGTTTCTATAATTTTGATATGTATAGAATAGGCTCAGAGTTTTTGCAGGTTGCTCTTACTTGTTTTAATACCATTGCCATTCCGCTTTGCTTAAGAGGTTTTTGGTTTCTGCAACTGACAGGTGAAATAGTGCGAGTTCAAGTTCATGCCATTACTGGTTCCATCAGTTGCCCAAAAACCATTAACTAAGGGTCAGTACTTATCAAACTCGATATTAATAAGTGTAAAAGCTTCCTTCACAATGAACAACTGCTAAATCCAGTCATAGTGATTTGCTGGAACAGGAATCAGAGCACTTGACATTATGCAAAGATCTTTTGAAAGAAAGAGATTTAAAAAGGGGAGTTTCGCCTAGCATTATCTTTGAATAACTCGAAGTTATACCGATAAATTGCTAGTTGTTGTCTTGATTATACAAATTACCCCTGTTTCCTTTGTGCCTTCACTCCTCTT